AAGTTTGGGGACCCCTGCTGTATTCCCTTGGTAGCTGGAGAATAGTAGAAACTCTAGTTTCCTCTATCGTAGAAACTTTTCTCCTCAATTCCTTGCATCCCACTGTGCAAGGTTTTTTTTTTTAAACCAACAGGGCAACCTTTGACCTTTGGTCAAAAATCCACCTTTGGTATGTGTAGTGCTTTGATTGTACCACCCTGGCCATCATCTTGAATTTGTTATGCATTTTGAAATTATAAACTGCCTGGAGAGGATTACATGACTGGTAGTTTAAAATAAATGATACTTTAAAAGAAACAAACAAAAAAAATACCCTAGCGAATCGCTTAACATTTCTTTCGTCACATGACTAGTTTTAAACAGTATAAACAATTCACAACTCTTTCTACGGATTGCTTGTCTTGGAGCTCTCTTTTAAAACGTACAGGGTGACATTTGGACAAGGCCATTTAGCAAATGGAAGCAAGTTAATTACTATAATTCATACCAAATTAGACAGCAGCAACTGATCTGAATATGGAGGGGGTGGTGTCTCTGCATTTATTTCTGGATCTTCATGCTCACTTTCACTATAGCATTCTGAAACAAGATTGCAACCATTAAAAATGTGGAAGACATTCTATTTTTAATGCCCTGTAAAATAAAGCATATTTTCACGATCACTTTAATTGAAAGCAGAACACATTGATTTCTGACCCTATCGTTCAGAAAGGGTATTTTGAATGCAAACTTCTTTCCTGAAGAACAACTTTTGTTTTTTTCTACCCACTTTTAGAATAGAATAGAATAAACTAGAATAGAATAGAATAGAATAGAATAGAATAGAATAGAATAGAATAGAATAGAATAGAATAGAATAGATGTATAAAGCCTCTTGTAGCAAGAAATAACAAGAGAAGTAGCCAAATGTTCACAAAGGCAATGCAAAAGTCACTGTACAGGAGCAAATAAAATCCTTGTGTAAACTACCGTTTTAATCACCAGAAACATGGTGATTACATCTGTTAGAATGGAATGAGTTACCATATGTTCAGTCTATATTAGAATAGACTTTGGACTGAACAATACATAAGCCCTAGTCAATAGAAAAAAGGAAGGACTTTCTGCATTTACATCATTGGCAAAATCACAGTTTAGCCAGACTCAAATTACCAGTAAATCTATATTATACGATAATCTGATTCCATCCCACTTTTTCTTTACTCTTTCTACATTTGGATTTCTCTTTCAAATGATTTCTTTTGCAAGTCAGTGTGGTCACTTTTTAAAGTATCCAAGGATGCTATTTGTATAGTTCTACCTTTACTATGGGTTGCTGGATTAAACCTCCTCTTCTGCTTTTGTTTTTTTTTAAACAGATTATTAGTTGATGCTTTCTATTGGAAATATGAAAAAAACCCAAAGCTCTGGATATTTACGGATAGCCATGGAGGGGTCAGAAAAGTCAAGATAGTGGCTTTGATGACATCATTTGAAGCCCTGCCCCTTTTTACATGTGTTCCTTGTGTCACCTGCTTCAAAACAATTAGGGCTGCAATCACACAATCATTGATACCATCCTGGATTTTTTTACACCCCATCCTGATTCACATGGGAAAAGAATAGGCCTTTTTAAAATATCACATATAGTGCAACAAAACTGATTAGCATCATCTAATCAAAGCCCAACCCTTAATTGCACCTACGTAATCAGGAACATCAAACAAGAAAGTCACTTGATTCCCTTCCTGGGTTGAGGTATTAGGTCTTTATAACTCTGCCTAACAACACACAGTAACCCAGAGACTGATTAATTTCTTCTCTGCCCAAAACTGTTCTCCTTTTGAAAATTACTGTTTGGATTTTATAGTAGCAAAAGCCATCCTGCAAGAACAGGCTAAATTTTTCAGGCCATCAGTGATACTTACATCTATCAAGAACATGCCCAGAAATATGTCACTCATTTTCATCCTTTGTTTCAGATGAGACTCAACAGGGAAGTGAAATTTTGCTAGGCTTTGACAGTATTAGGATAAAACAAGCCTGTTAAAGTGACTGAACTTGCTAAACAGAGTAGCTGCTTAGTGTCTGCTGCTCTTTAGAACTACTGGTTCTATAGAACCAGGCCGAACCAGTAGCATCCCACCCTTGGTAACTGCTATATTCTTTGTTTTGGTACAAATAGAAATTGAGTCAGATGGCTTAAGAATGTACACTGAACCAAATCCTCTCATATCCCAGAACTAATCCTGTCCCTATCCTGCAAAATGTTAGAAGTTGTTCAATACTAAGGATTCATTTTGGTCTAATCAAATATTTAAACTCCCTATTGTTTTTTTTATAAACAGTAGTCTTCATATACAAAAGCACAGTGAGATTCCTTGTAAAAAGTTGACATCTGAACTTACCTTCTTCATTTTTTTTATTAGCCTGTTGCTCTAGGACTGCCACACCTAATTTATTTAGCCATCTGAAATTTAAAATGGAGATACATTTAAATAGAATGTCATATCAAGTCTGTCTTTAAAAAGTGTGAACTAATTAATATGTGTTCACGTAATTTACCAGAGTGTTTATTAAAGTAAACTAAATCAAACCTACCAAGCAAACATGATTCCTATTAAAGATCTTCACTCAAATGAAAATAATTGAAGATATTTATTTGCACTTCCACTGCTGTGTACAATTCAAATTTATTTATTATTTCTATAAAACATTTATACAGTTCCCTGACATGTTTCCTGAACTGAATGGAGAACTGAGAGGTGAAGTTTAACTTTCCCCATTTGCAATCTTCTTGAGTGCGTTTTACTTAGAAACTGTTGAGCCATAGCAAAGATGGAGTTGAATATGTTTGCACGGATCAGTGGATGAGAGAAAGAAAAAGAAGTAAGGTCCTTGCTGATTTTACATTCAGCCATGAAGATATGTGATCAGGAAAAAAGACAGACATCTTATGTTTGTTTTTTCCTGAGCTTTATTATTTTATTTTATCTTTGATAATTTTTTTTATCCTGCCTTGATTACTTTATAAGTAACTCCACACAGTGAATTTACATAATACTCCTTCCTCATCCTACTTTGGTCACAACAGCCCTGTGAGGTAAGTTGGACTGAGGGAGAAAGTTACTGGCCCAAAGTCACCCAGTTAGTTTTCAAGCCTAAAGGGGGACTAGAACTCACAGTTTCCTAGTTTGTAGGCCATCACCTTAACTAGTGCCATTGAACTGACACTTTAGACAACGGTCTACATAGAAATCATAATCAAAACAATACAATCAATCCACTGAAAGAAATTGAAGTTCCATATTTATTTTTACTTACATATTCATTTCATGTGCATTTTCTGCTGCAAAATAGAATGTCTTGATTTGTGGGTGTGTGATCTTCATCGCGCTTCCAAAACAAATTAAAATATATGGGAAAAAGTTAGACTTTCTAAAAGTTAGGCTGAATGAAAGAATCAGAAAGGTTTCAATACAATGAAATATCCCCAAAACCTAGTTTCATGAGGTATTCCAGAAGACTATCGTGGGGGGCAAAATATCCAGGTAATTCAAACAAGTTAAGAAGATCTTGCTCTCAAGATGACTTGAGCAATCTCAATCTCATATTTCATCTTAAATCCATACTGTGTCAAGAGCTGAAAACAGCCACTAACCTAGGAAAATCTTATGTATAAGTTTTAATTATTGTAATGAAATGCAAATTTTTTTGAAAATCTACTAGGCTGCAATATTGTGCACTCCTTTTTCCATTGCTTAACAATGTTCAATCCCAGCTTCTGCTTAATTTTTTTCATAATTCACAATAACTTCAAAATAATTTGTAATTTTCCCAAAGACCGAAATAAAAATGATAGACTTACTGTTTTTTCTTGCATTCTGTTGCTTGATCCACTGTGAAGTTGGGAAGGTTGAGGAAGCCTTCTGCTTTCTCTGCCTAACGGGGGGAGGGAACCACAAAATATTTATATATGCCCTGTTATTCATCAAAATTAGATATTGGAAATTAATTGAACTTCATATCATGGTTCACATTATGGAAAAGATATTTTAGCTTCTTGAACTAAATTGTAAACCATAGTATATTCTGAGGGATTTTCTCAGTAGTGTAAACAAATAGGGAATGAAATACGAGGGCTATCCACAAAATAGATTACGTTTTGCGATAGAAAAAAAACAAAGTGTAGGAAAAAAAATTTATTATATACACTTGAAAGTGACACTTAAATACTACTTTTCAACATATTCACCGAACAAATTGAGGCACTTATCATAGCAGTGAACATGCTTTGTAATTCCATTGTCATAAAATTCAGCCTCCTGGTGCAAGATCGGGGCTGTAGGGCAGATGAGGAAAAATCTCCCACTTGAAAGCATTCAGGACTTCTCGAGTGCGATTTGCTGTGTGTGGTCGAGCATTGTCATGCAAAAACAAATTTTTCGAGCTTAACTTTCCTCTACACTTGTTCTGAATTGCTTTTCTTACGAGGATGGAAATTTCAAACAGTTTATGGTTTTTTGCCAACAAAAACCTTATCACTGATCACACCTCACAACTCGCGGGATTTTCAATTGCAGCACACATTTCAAACGTTTGCTGTGAAATAACGGGCAACGATACGAACCTCCCACTCGCACGACTAGATTCAGACTGAGCAGCGCACCCACAGACCAAAGATGGCCGCGCTAGTCCCGCCCCTTCTTGCTACAGATGAAAACGTAATTTATTTTGTGGATAGCCCTCGTATATAGGGTCTTTGCTCCCTGCATTCTTATGCTCAAATGTTTACCAATTACTTAATTGGATAATATAGAATTTATATTCTCTCACTAGCTCATAGAATTCTAGACAGCTGTAAAATCGAAACTAACTGTGTACTCTAATAGAACTGCAGAAATTCAGATCAGTTCATGTGTAAACAAAACAAACAGACAAGCAAATACAGATAGTCCTCAATATACAACAGTCCATTCAGTGATTATTCATAGTTACAATGGCACTGAAAAAAGTGACTTTTGACCATTTTTCACAGTTACAACCTTTGCAGCTTCCCCGTAATCCTGTGATCAAAATTCAGATGCTTGGCAACTGGTTCATATTTATGACCAATGATTCACTTAACAACTGTGACAAGAAAGGTCGTAAAATGGGGCAAAACTCACTTAACAACAGAAATTTTGGGCTCACATGTGGTTGTAAGTCAAGGACTACCAGTATGACGTTACCATGGGTGTATATGAGCACATCATTCATTAGCTGATTTTTCTGAATGTAAGACAGTAGATACCATTTCCTATTAATAGAAAGCTGCTAAGTCATCCGCTTCTAAGATATTTCAAAAGGGGAAGTAAAGAAGAAGATTGGTGACTGATATATCATTGACCATGTATCGTTCTAGTGAAAGGTGCAGAAATAATTGTCATTCTCAAATTTTATATTAGAGTATGCTCTAATATAGAGTATACTGTAGAATATGCTATGAAATCCACACACACACCCCCAGGAGTAAAACTAGTGGATTTTTGTACTTGTGAAAACTGCATTTCTCACATATGGCACCAAGTAAGAAGCCTGCAAGGTTTTAGAAAGCTCCGTTCATTAATTTTTATTATGGAATGTGAGTGGAATGGAATGTGAGTCAGCTGCCCATTCCCTGGTCAAAAACATTAGCAAATAAAAGATCAGAAAAACTGGTTCAGATATTAGTGAACTAAACCCTATTTAATACCTTTCGTGCAATCTGTTAAACTGTCCCTATTGTCAAGTAGGAAAGAGGGATAGATAGATATGGAACAAACCCTGGTAGAAATAGAAGAACATGAACAAGCACTTGTCATAATATACAATTTCATAAAAACCTTTTTTAATATCCCCACTTTCATGAGAATTATTAGCTAGAACCTAATATAATATGTAACCCCCTAAAGCACAATAGAATAGAATAGAATACAACACAACACAACACAACACAACACAATACAATACAATAACAGAGTTGGAAGGGAACTTGGAGGTCTTCTAGTCCAATCCCCTGCTTAGACAGGAATCCCTACACCACTTCAGACAAATGGTTATCCAATTTCTTCTTAAAAAATTCCAGTGTTGGAGCAGTTACTTGCTCTGGAGGCAACTTGTTCCACTGATTAATTGTTCTAACTGCCAGGAAATTTCTGCTTTAATTCTAAGTTGCTTCTCTCCTTGATTAGTTTCCACCCATTGCTTCTGGTCCTGTCCTCAGCTGCTTTGGAGAATAGCTTGACCTCTAAATCTTCTTTGTGGCAGCCCCTGAGATATTGGAACACTGCTATCATGTCACCCCTAGTCCTTTTTTTCATCAGACTAGACATACCCAGTTCCAGCAACTGTTCTTTATATGTTTTAGCCTCCAGTCCCCTAATCATCTTTGTTGCTCTTCTCTGCACTCTTTCTAGAATCTCAACATCTTTTTTACATCGTGGTGACCAAAACTGGATGCAGTATTCCAAGTGTGGCCTTACCAAGGCATTATAAAGTGTGGTATTAACACTTTGTGTGATCTTGGTTCTTGATTGAGAACTGCTGGACAGTTTTGGTAAACCATTTACTATAGTTACAAAGTAGATCCATCAGTAACAAAATTCTCTCCTTTTCTCTGTCAGGATTCTGGTAGTTACTCCAATTAAATCATGAGTCTCGAGCCAAACTTCTAAAACTTAATAGGAAATATTGGGTTTTAACATGCCGGCACAACCTGGGTGTAGCAGACTCTGAGACACATAATTCACTTTCACCCTTGATCCTGATTTCCACCCACCCACCCCTCTGGGTGTATCATAATTCATATTCTCCAATGAAACACGTCCATAGCCAAGTGTCATCAATTACGTTCTCTAGTTGGATTTTTGCACGGCAGAAACTTCAGTAACCTAGTTACAATCTCTGAAAAACTTTGCCTGGAATACACTTTCAATTCCAAACTGTCGCACTGCCCTTTCAAACCCCTTTCCCCTCTCCCTTTCTGTTGGCAACTATAAAACATCAATAGAAATGTTTTTTGAGTTGACAATCTAATTGTGACGTTTTCCCCAAGACAAAGAGTCTTGAAGGCCATGTATCCCTTGCATTGGCTTTGGTTACACAAACTGATTCACCAGCTCAGCTAAACATCTATCAGGTGCATGAAATAAACAGATAAATAAAAGTAATCCCTATTATTTTACATATTCTGAATCACTAACAATACTTTAGGGGGGATTCAGATTCACATCGGTGGGTTTTTAAAAAGAATTCCTAGTTCTCTGGGAAAGAATCTAACGCAAGTTAAGGCAGAAGGAAAGGGAAGAAGAGGATGACCAGCAGCAAGATGGATGGCCTCAGTTACAGCAATGATAAATGAACAGGATAAATCACCCTGGAGAAAGTCTATCCATGTAGTTGCTAGGATTCAAAAACAACTTGATACCAATAATCAATCAGTCAGTCACCGTGTCTGACTTTGCATGGTTCATTTCAGGATTTGCTAAAATCTAAAGTAGATCCCTATTTGCTACCAGCCACCGTGATTCAATGAGAATTGACCCTCACATAATTGGCAAATATATGTGGAAAGGGCAGAATGTAGGCTGAATTAATTTAAAAGCCTAACTAATATTTCTATTCTCTGGGATCTTACTGACAGACTAGGAGATACACTGCACCAATCTGCTGTTGCTAAGTTACATTTCCCCGAATCTCTGGGTGACAAAAGATATTGTTCTGAGACAATAGTCTTCTTCCTTCATTAAAAAAATATTACTTCCCATCCTGAAGAAGAATAAAGTGAGCATGGCAGGCCAGGCAATCAAAGGGTGAACAAGGTTTCTGCAACTAAGGTATCTGCCTCCACAAACAGATCAGTGCCTAAAATTTCCATTTACAACATTTGATTGTGAAATGAGGATAGGATTGCAGAGAATAGTGAAGGTTACAAATCACCATATTCCTAAAACCCCAGGAAATAATGGGTGCTAGGTTGCAATTACAATTTCTGCTTGCAGAAAAAGCTTTTGATCTTAAAAATTCTATTTCTATAGAGAGGCATAAAACAGCCTTGCAATGTTTATACCCAGTGCACTCTTGTTAACAGAAATCACCTGTTTATAGGGAAGCCCCAAGAAAAATAGATGCTAGCAAATGCTTTGGTTATACAAACTGATTCACCAGCTCAGCTAAACACCTATTAGGTGCATAAAATAAATCTGAAACCGAAAAGTTATATCTGGCCAAAATGGTTAGGATACAGTAGTCTTCCTCAACAAGAGAATTTGGGTTCAAGCTGTCTCCATCTCTGATAACCAAAAACAATGGAATTTAACTTCTCAACATGGCACTGGGTTCAAGAAAGCATTCCCATTATTGGAACTATCTTCTTTAGACGAAGACATTATGGGTGCATTAGAGCATTTCATCTCACAGTGGTACAAAGAAAATGAATGCTTGCACAGCAATTGTCTTTGCTTGGCAGTTAACTGTTTCCATGTGGAAGTGAAACCTGAATCATAAGTTCTGTTCTAGTACTAAAAATATTTTCTTTGCTCCTGAGGTCTGGGGTCTTCCACTGACAGGCATTAATGGAAAAACTTTTTCCTTCTCACAGTTAATGAATCTCTCTCCCTTGGGCATAAAAGATCATTCTAGAATTATGAGGTTATTTAATTTCAAGTCCTTATTTTACGCTGGGATTAGAGGGCCTGAGGTTAGCCACATGACCAAAGAAATCCATTGCTTTCCACCATGTGACTATTAGGTGGGAGAGACACATGTCTGCACATGTGACTGATGCCTTAAGTCTGTGATGGCGAACCTATGGCATGCGCCAGAGGTGGCATGCAGCGCCCTCTCTGATGGCACGCAAGCCGTCGACCCAGTTCATCTCTGATGCACATGCATGTGTGCCTCCTGCTGGCCAGCTGGCCTTT